TTCCAGTCACCCATTATTATCAATGCATCTTGGTTGCATGTTCGATGAATCTCCAATTGTAAAAGTTGGTAAAAATCTTCTATATCCTCTTCCTTGGCTCTGGTTGTTGGTGCATATATTTGAATGATAGTGGTATTCACTGGACTTCCTTGTACTCCATGAATTTTCCCTTTAAGTGAATCTGTTAAGAAACATATCCTCCTATCTTTTCTCCTAGGGAGTCACTGCTTAATCCCAATTCCCAAAGTTTGTGTTAGCACACAAAATTTAAACTGTTGTACCAATCACAACTCCTTAGAATTTCTATTCACTCTTACAGATTAGTGAAAAACCCAAAGATATTTTGTTTGTTTGGGTTTATTTTGTTTGATTTGTGCTGTATCTACAAACACAAGAAATTGAAAGAGAATGAAAAAAAATTAATTGGAAGTAATTTTTAAAATTTAAAGTATTACCAATAATCTATTAATCATTAACTGAGATTTTTTTGTATTGGTTTGCTTACATGTAGAGTTCATATACATTGTGTTTCACACAATTCTTCCTATCGTGTTTCATACAATCATTTTCATGCATTAAGTTTTACAAAATTAATCACCATTGAACCGTGTCCATCATTAATCTTTTTCACCTTGATCCTTCCCATTTCCTGCCCCTTACTTCCACCAACCAAACTGTGTAACCCTGTGGTTTTGACACTACCCATCTTCACCCCTCCACTCTCAACCTTTCCTCCCTTGCGTTTCCATATAAGTTTTACTGGTTCTACTTCTATTTTTACAAAAATAGACTTATACAATATTTGTCCTTATGAGACTTAGTTAATTCAGCATAATGCTCTCTAGTCTCTCCAGAGTTAGGTATTATTTTTCAAAATTGTTGCTCCTGAATGCTGCATAGTATTCCATTGTGTAAATGTAACACAATTTCACAAACCATTTGGTTGTAGTTAGACATTTGGACTGTTTCCATGTTCCTGCAATGGTGAATAATGCTGCTATGAACATTGGTGTACAAATCTTCATTTGTACAAATCTTAGCTCTAGTTTCTTTGGAGCATATTCCTAATAGTGGTATAACAAGGTCATATGAAATTTTGATATTCAACTTCTTTAAGAAATGTCAAACTGTCTTCCAGAGTGGTTGCACCATTTTACAATCCTACCAACAGTGTATGAAAGTTTCCACCTCTCCAACATTTATTTCTTTCTGTCCTGCTAAATTTTGCCACTGTTACTGGAGAGATAATATATTTTTATGAAAATTAAATATTTTCCAAACAAAAATGTAGTGATTCAGCTCTCTTTCCTGTTTATCAATAGATGATTTTGGATTATCACATTTGTCACTGCATGTTCTCTCTCTCTCTCTTTCTCTTTCACACACACACACACACACCACATACATGTTGTTGTGTGTTGAGTATCAATGAGTCAAAACCAACACATAACTGACCTTCCTGCGGGTTTTCAGAGGCAGTTAATTGCATGGGAGGAGATTTTCCATCCTTCTGCCGCAGAGCAGCTGGTGGATTTGAACTGCATGCCATTGAGATTGCACTCAGGTTCTTACATATGTATGTATATATATGCATACACATATATGTGTGCGCATAATATGTATGTTTGTATATATGGCTGTATACCTAGAAGAGGCTGAGATTGTTAACAGTTTCATCTTGCTTGGATCCATAATCAACACTCTTTGCACCAGCAGTCAGGAAATCCAAAGACAAGTTGCTTTAGGAAAGTCTGTTGTAAACGACTTCTAAAAAGCAATGACGTCAGTCTAGAGTCTAAGGTGCACCTGAGATAGCGCGTGGTCTTCTCAATTACTTGCTATGCATCAGAAAGCTGGATAATTACTAAGGATGACAGAAGAATCAATGTCTTAGAGTCTTGGTGCTGGAGAAGATTATTGAACATACCATGGATTGCTAAGAGACTAAATAGGTCTGCCAGGAGAGGGTGAAGCCAGGTTGCTCCTTGAAGGCAAAGATTCTGAAACTCTGTCTCACATACTTTGGACATGTTGCCAGGAGGGGACCATCTTTGGAGAAAGCCATCATGCATGGAAGGGTGGAGGGTCAGAACAGGAGAGGAAGACCTTGGATGAGATGAATTCACACAAGGAGTGTGGTAATTTGGGTGGATGAGTCAAAAACTGTGAGCTTGGCTCAGGACTGGGCAGAGTTTAGAGATACTGTTCATAGAATCACT